GTTGCCTAAAACCTACTCCATTCTGCATGCCACTATCAAAAACAACTTTTGAACCAGGCACAGTTGGCGCATGTCCATAATCTCAGTGGCTCAGGAGGCTGAGGTAGGAGGGTCACAAGTTCAAAGCCAGCTTCAGCAACTTAGTGAGGCCCTAAGCAATTTAGCAAGACTCTGTCTCTAAATAAAATATAAAAAGGAGCTGAGATGTGGCTCAGTGGTGAAGCATCCCTGGGACCAACAAAACCCAGGGTTTGAGGTAATGCTGAGAATGCAATTCTGAACTGGGTGACTCTACAAGGACCAGATCCATATCATAACCCAGGAATCCCTGTTGAGATGCCAACACTCCTTGTCAACTGTCCCTAAACCGATGCACTCTGGAAATGACCCAAATTACTTGATGCCTTGCAACAAAGACAACTATATAGTAAAAAGCATCATTAACAACAACAAAAACATATAGTGAAAACCTAGAGAAGACAGAAAACCAAATTGATTTTTTTAAAGTCTCATTTGAATCCCAAGTACAATAGAAAAAAGGAAAATAAGTGGTAACAGGAGTGCATGAAATCAGAAAATGTCAAAATCACTATGAAAAAATAAAGCAAGCACAGGGCTGGGGACGCAGCTCAGAGTAAGCTATGTGCTCCACACATGTGAGTCCCTGGGTTTCATGCTGAGCACTACCACCACCACAGAAAATTCACAAGACACATTCAGGAGAAATCCTGAATAAAAAAGAATGCCAATACGGTCTTGTCAATGTTTCCTAAGTCATGAGACTCAAAACCTCAGAAGGCTCCAGTATAATACAATTTATTTTGCACTTTCCTCTGATTTTACTACACAGTCTTTGGAATTTAAGACTATATTAAGAAACAAATCTTCCTGAAATTTTAACTTTAACGTTTAAAGTTTCTACTATCACTCAGAGTGGAATACAGGAATGAAAAAAAACAAAAAACAAAAAAACTACACCCTCATTGCATCAGGAATAACAACGTTCTATAATGGGCAATACAGGAACACCTGGCACAGACTCCAGGGAAAGAGACTGATGCCAGACCAAATGGACCTCTCATCTAGTCACACAAGGAGTTTGCTAAGTCCTTGCACATAGTTACCGTTTGGGGACTAAGTGGCAACGTCTGCTCAGGACGAGAAAAGCAATTAGAGAATTTCCAAAGCCATGGCTTAGCATCATTATCTTGTTGAAGCCATCCAAGTGTTCTACTGCAGGGGTTCTCAGTTCCGTTTCCTTCCATCATACAGCCATGCAAAGTGGTTCAACATTCTTTCATCTTTCTTTTCTTTCATTCTTCCACCCTGTTAGGAGCAAGTGACATTTCCTTGTTATTTCTTCATATAAGAACAAATTTTATATTAAATATGACTGCAACATGTACCACGCAATGGCTGTCAATGATTCAAATCTGAAAGAACAAAAGAATGCATATCATAGCACCTTACAAGCTACTAAAATGTGTTAAACTTGATTGACTGCTTATGCTTAAAATCTAAAAGCATCAATCTGATTTTTATAAAATCTATAAACTGCTATTCCTTGTGTTTGATAGCTCTTCAAATAGGAATGAGTTTTGACTGAGTCCTATTTTTTCTTTAAACACTGACATGCTTGAAAAAATAGCCTAATCTTAGACATTCTCATGTTCCTGAATGAGACTTCTCTTCACCTGGCTAGAGTCAACTTCCTCTGCCCTAAGCGGACTTTTTAAAAGTTATTTTTAACTCTCTCTTTTTCTCTCTCCCCTCACAAGATTCTGCCTAGAAGAGTAAAGAAGATGATGGAATAGAGAATCTAATTGTATTAAAAGAAATAACACGATATCAGACTCTACCACTATGTCTCTGATATGAGCACTGTGAACTTTGAATTCTATTCTGCACAGAATAAATCCAACCAATTTCTCAGTTTACTTATGATGAAAGTCCAATATGACACACCACAAAAAAAAAAAAAAAATCTAACAATTAAAGCAACCACAAGTCACAGGTGTGCTGTATTTGCTCCACTGTAACAACACTTTTACAAGTCTTAAACAGTACAATAAAGACAGATCAAATCAATCCATACCCACCATTCATGGAGGAAGCTGGCCAATGGTGAGGAAGACTAAATTTCATTTCTAAGTCCTTACCACAATGTCCCAACAACCACCTTTCTTACCTATACTGGCCATTTTCAGGGGATTAATTTCATTATCAGAAATTCTATTTAAGCATACAGTAAACAACTTCTTAGTTCTATCTCTAATAAGATGTTCTTTCCAAGAGATATTAACATCTACATGGTAGGAGGAGCTGAGAAATTATATACATACTGTGTCTAAGGTACATGAGAACTGACCACATAAAGCAGAAGTCTGGCCTGTGTGCCCAAGCCAGCACACTGCCTGTAATTTAAATGGCCTGTGAACTGAGAATGTATTTTACATTTTTTAATTCCTGAAAAAAAAAATTAAATGAGATTCAAATTTCAGTGGCCATTAAGTTAACTTATTGAGACACAGCCATACTCATTCATTTAAATGCTGTCTGTTGCTTGCACAATTGCGGAGTTGAGTTGTGACAGGGACGGGCCACAAAGCCTAAAATATTAATTATTTGGCCTATTTAGCAAAGCTTCAAATTTTCATTAAGTTTCTCTTTCTGGGCTTGGGTGTGGTGTTAGAGTACATGCTTAACAAGGCCTTGAGTCTAATCCCCAGGGCACATGCAAGACACACACACACACACACACACACACACACACATTGTTTCCTCCTCTGTAAAATCTGGCTAATTTTTCCCTGGTCTACCCCAAAGCATTGCATATAAAATAGCAAATCACTCAATACCCATTTTCATCATTGTATCTTGTACTAAGCACAAACAGGCCTGTTACACAGTAGATACAAAGTAAATATTTGTTGAATGAAGGAATTAAGAAATCACAAAATTTACCCACCCACTAGAGTTGGAAGTGGTTAATCAGAGAGAGCGAGCGAGAGATGGAAATGCCAATACTAATATCAAATAATGATACTTGGTTTTTACCACTACATACAGGTCTTATGTGCCCTAACAATTTGTGATGTTCCTGGTATAAACAATTTTAATATGCTCTCTCAAAACTCTTCAAAGCAAAAACCCCAAATTGAACTAGAATTTATAAAGCATTTTCACTTAACCTTATTTTCTCATTCAGCAAATATTTGCTTATATTTTACTAAAGCACAAGAAATATAATGATGAAAAATAAGGAATGGATCCACTTATATAAACTTTTTCCCCCTCAGTAATTCTGTGAGGCAGAAAGGGAATGATCGGTCTTATTTCATAAAGGGAGAAATTGAAATTTAAGATTCTGTAGCTAGTCAGAAATCACACAATTACTGCAGAAAGCGGCAAAATTAGATTTGCCCAACTCTTACCACCACACCAAGCTGCCTCTAATACTGCTTAATACAAGCAAATAAAAGTAAAAACTTGCTGATGGCCTGCACCCTGAAATTTTTCCAATATTTCTAGGAATGCTACTAAGCAACTTAGGTAGCCAAAGAAGGGCTGTTTAAGTTGGAATCTCCCTTCAGTCTCTCTCTCTCATGGCCTTTGAACAATTCAGATAGTGGCCTGAGAGTACAGGATGTGATGTCACGCTATATATTTGTCCCCAATTCCACCTCTTCCTAGCTGTCCAGCTTTGAGCAACTCACAACTTCTCTTACCTTCACAGTCCCTTCTCTTACCTTTCATACAAAAGAAAGAGGGGGGGGAGGGGAAAACAAAGGGAAAAAAAAGTAACCTGCTCAGAGGATTGTTTGATTACAGGAGTTGCTAATCCATTTGGAACACTTAGCAAATGGCCTTCCCTCATCACCCTATCTTGTCCTGGGCTCCCACACCACTCCATCACCATTTTTTTTTCTTTTTCACATCTCTCCTTGCTACTTTATTCTTATTTTTTACCTGCTATTTTATTCTCTTTTAGTCCCATTAGAATGTAAACTCTAGGACAACATTCCAGGGATGTTTTCTTATTCATTATTATCTCCGGCATCTAGCACAGTGCCTGGCATATAGCAAGAAATAACTGTTGAACAAATGATGAGCTCAATAAACGTCAAATAAGAACGTTTAATTTTCCATTTTTTTGCATGCAAAGCAGAAGACTATCGCTCAGAGATGCTGGGAAGTGCAAAAAATAAAAACATAGCTGAAAATCTCTTGGTAAAATCAGAAAAGGTGCTTGGGAAACTCTAAAAAGGGTATCAGGAGGTCGCATACAATTATAGGGGGAGTGGTTGAAACCCCAAGGCGACCACCCTACCGGTTGTTGAAAGACCCAGCTGAATGCAAAATGCTAGGGAGGATTGCAAAACACCCATTCCTAACGTTTTCTTTTCACTTTCCAACTTTGCATACCCCTCTGGGAAGGTTGCTCCTCTCACCTGGAGGGCCCAATAGGGAGCAGGGAGACAGGTGCGGGCGGGGAGCCAAATACCCCAAAGGGGAACGTCTGCATAACAGTGACAGTAGTGAAGGAACTTGAAGGGGAGACCAGCCGACTGATTGGAAGCAGCCCGTGCCGCGGGTCCCACTCCTTCCCTTCGGACTAGCCACCTCTCCTCTCACCCCACCAGCAATAGGTGGGGGAAGGAGGGGGGCACTGCCCCTCGTCCAGCTCCGGCGGCCCCAGAGCAGTGGGCCTGTCAGGGTCCAGTCCCAGCGCCGACAGCAAACTCACCTCGGCCGCCGGCTCCACCTCCGCTCACATTCCGGCCCCGCCGCCTTCCCCCCGCCCCCCCCAGGCCCTTTGTTTTGATTCCCGACTCCGCAGCTCCCGCCGCCGCCGCCAAGCGCACCCTCCACTTCCGCTTCCGCACCGCACCGCCCCTGTCGCAAAACCGACGCCCTTCTCTGCCGCTCGCCCCGCCCCCGCCGCCGCGTCCTCGCCGCGCGGGGCACGCTGGGAACCCCCGGGGGGGGCGGGGCCTCGCGGCCCTGCAGCCTCGTCAGGCTCAGTCCCCTCCCGATAAACCCCTAAATAGGGACCTTCCCGGGGGGCTGCCCGGGATTTCTCCGCAGAAACCCCCAGTTTAAGAAGGCCTCTCCCCTACCCTGAGGTTGTGGAGGCGGTTGGGACCTCAAAGCGGAGAATTGGGGGAGCTTGTGGGGCAGAACCGAGGAAAAACCTGCCGAACGGGATTTAATAGAATTAAGCTCTTTTGGGGGCCAAGCGATGTGCACGGGATTTCATTGAAAGACTCGGTCGCTTCGGCTTTCCGCCCCCCGCCCACGTGACAGTCCTACTTATTTTTAAAAATTAAATGGCGCATGTTTCACAGCGTCCTTAATTACGACTAGTGCAGCCTAGTGGCGAGAGGAGGAGAAAACCTGCCGCCCGGGCTCCCTGCGAAGTCCTCGGTTGCTTTCTAGCAGTTTCGACCCAGCTGGCACAGATAAAGCGCGTGCAAAGACTTAACGCTGGATACTGTCACCAACAATTAAAGAGGGCCGTGGCGACCTCAGTTAAAAAGTCGTGTTTTTAAAAGCCCTGATCCAGAGCTCGTTACAAATGAATACAACGTTTCCATTGACAGTGGACAAAAAAGGAGACCCTACAGTTACAAAAGCTTTGTGAAACTAACAGCACTTTTTTGTTTTAGCTGGATAAACATGCTGTGGGTGTGTTTTTTCAGTGGCACCTCACGATTTTTCACTTGATGTGATTTTTTTTTTTTTAAAGACTCATCAGGCCAACGTGGTGATTTCTAAAACTGCCAGCTGCTCGCTATTTCCTGTTGCAAATTAGGAGAAAAACAAAGCACGTATTATCTGAACCTAGGCACAGTTGAGAATGTGCTAGCAGAATATTACTCAAAACATTCTACTTTTAAGTTTGCCCAGAAACAAATTAACTTTACAAAAGAATCAGTAAGTAGAAATTACTAAATGAGAACTTTTTTTTCTTTTTCTTTCTTTTTTTTTTAACTGAAGTCTTCAGGATGAGGTGGTTTCATTGGGCAATTCGTATTTAGTGGTGATTAATACGTCGCTGTAGACATGTATTGTGAAGGGCAAGATCCAACATGTCCCTGAAGAACCCTTTGTGCCTGTATTTAATTTTCCAGAAGGCACACAGCAAGTAAACATCATCTTCCTGCTTAGGTATTTATTATTGCTGAGTAGATCTTCATTGTGTCTGTGTTTGGGTAGTATTTTCCAAGTGGGAATTGAAACACATGAAAACCCACCGTGTTTCTATGATTTTTTTTCCCAAAGTATCAAACAAATATGCTACTCTTTTAGATGGTTTCACCCCTCCTTTTAAACTTTAGTTGAGTATTTCCGAACAAGATTTTGTTAACAAACATAAACAAGGAAACAGTAATTTCTCTTTATATGTTAAGTACAGATAGCCTCTATTAATTTAGTTCTATTTAGTAAGTCTAAGTTTTTCCTTATCCAAATAATAACTTCCACATTTATGAAACAAGGATGAAGACTTATTTTTGTGTTATTTGAATGGCTACTTTGCATTTGATTTGGCTTCTCAGTTATCCAAGCTGCTGTTACAGGGGTTTCTCCTCAGTAACTGCTTTCCTGCCTATGTTAGGTTGAGTGTTTTGAATTGGTAAATTATGGTGGAAGTGTAACCAAAAGCTTGGTCCCTGTCCCCAATGCCAACCAATACCAATTTAATAATGAGGACACAATTTTGAGAAAAAAGGTAAAAGAAGGTTTATTGCTTTACTAGCAAAGGAGAAACACAAGGGAATCCTGTCCCAAAGGCTGTGACACTCCTGATCAAGAGGGACAGGGGGGTTTTAAAGGAACTTTTCAAGAGTTACATTCTAGTAGGGGGGTCCTAGTTCACCCAGTTAGCTTGTTAGAATTCATTTGTTAATTTGGGAGATGTTCATTTCCCAGATCTTCAGCAGGCTTCTCCTTCCTGTAGTGGGCTTGTTCAAGGGGAAGAAAAAATAACACTGTCTCCCTAGTCTTGTTGGGGAGAGGGGAGAAGAGAGAAAGAAATATTTTTTTTTAAAAAGTAAACCTTAGAGCATTGAAGGCTATATTCACAAGGCGAAGGGGCCACTGTTACAGAAGACTCTAAGGAGAGAAACTGAGCTCTCTGTTACAGAGTCATATCTCAAAGCTGCAAAGAAAAAAAACTCAAGCAAACCTGCCCCCACGTTTGGCAGTGAAGGAGCTGAAATGAACCAGGTATACTGATTTGAACAGTATTATTATTATTTTTAATTAGATTAAGAGGGAAACATTTTAAGATTTTGCCTAATGACAAATCCTTGTCCCCAATTTTTTGTCCTGAATAAAACTTTTTTTTTTTTTTAAAGGGAGAGTGTGAGAGAGAGGGAGAGAGAATCCTTCAATATTTATTTTCTAGTTTTCGGCGGACACAACATCCTTGTTTGTATGTGGTGCTGAGGATCGAACCCGGGTCGCATGCACGCCAGGCAAGCACTCCATCGCTTGAGCCACTTCCCCAGCCCCCTGAATAAAACTTTTAACGATAATCATTTCAGTATCTTTCCCTGTTCTTTATGGAAACATTGGGAAAATGAGAACCAACTAGTGCAAATAATTTGATCATTTCCATTTAGGCAAGACCAATACCTCACCAGTTTGTGCTTCAACTTGTCTAGGAACTGGGTGATTACTTCCTGCCCAGAAACCTTAGAGTTCTAAAGGTCAAGTAAAATTTAGAAGGTAAAGGCCTCAGACTGAGCATCAAGCCATATGCAAATGATTTGTTAGTGTTTGGGACCAGATTGGAAATTTCTGGAAAAACACTTTGGTACTTTCCTTTACCCTGTTGATGTAGGTGTTGGGGTTTCCTTTTGTGTGTCTGAAATTCTTTAAGGAACTAGCAAGGAGTCAAAGAATTATTAGAGAAAGGTCATTCTAATTGTAGCAGGGAGGCAGGAGGGATTCTTTGCCTCTAGTTTATGGTGAAAAATCAAACAATCAAAGAGCCAGTTTTGAATGCTGATTTGTTAGTTACTAATTGTAGTACCTTGGGCAACTCCTTTAACTTCCCGCACCTTTGTCTTCTCATCTTTTAAAATAAGTACAATAAAAGTGTTTTCCTGTGGTTCTCATCATGGGGGGCGGGGAAGACTCAGCTCCATCATCACATCCTTAAAGTGGCTTCTCCTGACCATTTTATCTGAAATGACCCCGCTCATCCCTTTTCTATCACAACTTTGTTTTATTCATAACTTATCATGACACCCGAAATTATTTTATTCGCTTATTGGTTTAGTGCCTTTTTCTTTTCAAAATATGAGCACTTGGAGGACAGGTACCTTTGTCTGATTTGTTCATCGTGCTCTAAGAGTGCCTAGTACATAAAATTGCTTGATTAATATTTGTTAGTGAACAATTAACCTGTCTTGAGAGTTAAACGAAAAAAAAAAAAAAGCTTGTCAAGAAGTTAGTGTGCCTGAGATACATAATAATTCTACAAAAACCCCAGTCATTTAACAAATACGTATATTGTTCATACTATGTGCAAAGCTGACTGACCTAACCTCCTTCTACATAAGAAATTGAGAGCGTAGTTAAATAACTTGCACAAGAGCACACCGCTAGCAAGGGGCAGAGCTAGGATTCAAAGTCAAGCTCTTGGGCTGCCTCTGAAGCAAACAATGAAGTTGACGATTCTATTCCGGGTGTAAAGGACTGGAAAGGACACGGAACACTGGTGGCCTCGGCGGGCCTGGGTCTTTGCCCTTCTTTCAGATTGGGGGGAAGGGGAAGAAGGGGAAGGCAGTCGGTGTGCAAGAGGCCGGCGTCTTTTCCTGAAGTGCGTGGCCCGCGAGGACAAGCCCGTCCCGGGTGCTGGGGAGGGCAGCCGGCCCCTTCTCCACGGCTGGCCAGTCGCCGCCCAGCAGCCGGCCCCTCCCGCGCAGGGCAGCCGCCGCGTGGCCCCGCCGCGCCCGGGCCTGGGAAAAAAGTTTCCAGACCGCGCTGCTCGGCGCTGATTGGCCGAGCCGGACGCGGACCCGTGGCGCGGCAGCCAATGGGCGGCGCCGGCCGCGAGCGCCGGGGCGGAGATCCGAGGACCCGGGCCGCGCCACCCTCGCCGCCCGGGCCGCCGGGTCTTCGGCGCCTGAGCCCGGTAAGTGGGAGCTGCGGCCGGGCCGGGGTGCGGGCCGCCGCCGCCACACTCCGGCGCCCGCCCGCGCTCGCGGGACCGCACCCTGCCGCCGCCTTGCAGGGACCCTGCGCGCCCTCTCCCGCTGCCCGGGCTCCGCGGGCTCCCGAACACCGCGCCTTCCCGGAGCCCCGCTTCCTAACTTTCCGCCCGCCCACCGCGTGCCCCTCGCGCCCAGCTCCTCGGGTGGCCAACCTCGTTCCGCTTTCTGCGCTGGTCTCTCCAGCCCCGCTGCCCTGCCCGCCCTGGGGACTTCCTGGGTCACCTCGCCCTCCTGGTCCCCCGGCCCGGCTCTACCGCTCTTCCCTCCTTCGAGGTCGCCTCCTAGACGCCCCTCGTCTCTTTTCCGCCCCTCCATCCCGCCACCCGCCCGTTCCCGCCCCTGCTTCTCCTGCGGGCCCCTGGTCCCCCTCATTCCTTCACTTCCAGCGCCACCTCCGCCTTCGTGCCCATGTCCCCACCCCATTTTCACCCCGAGCGCAGGCTTCCTTCCAAAAACCACCCCCTCCTTTGCACCTCCCTCATTTGGAGCAGTCTCCTTCCACCCGCTTTTCTCAGACCTCTGCAGCGGGGCCGTTCGGATTTCTCGGGACAGCACTTTGGGGCAGGATTGAATAAAGGGTGAAAAGCGCTTATTCCGCAGCTTGAATGCTGGCTGGGCTTACCTGCCTCCCCGAGGTCCCTGGACACTGCTTTGGGGCAGGTACTTTATCTTCTCTAAGTCATCTCAGGTTCTCGGCCTCCCGAGAGCCCGAGCGCCCCGTCTTCTTTGTCCAGGGTTCGTACCAGGTTGTGCCTCTTTCTTTTTACTTTTAGCCCGAGGCCCCTTTTAACTTCCTTTCTAAGGAAAGGGCCCTGGCAGCGTGTGCTGTGCCCAGGTTTGTCATTTTCTAGGCTGGTTTTGTTTCAATGTATTCTGGGCTAGGATGGCGTTTTAGGACTTGAGTAGGGTGCTTTGAAGCGTAATTGAATACCCCGCTACTCCCAGAGCCTCTTGTTATCTGACCACCCTTGCCCCTCCCCCTACCTCGCTGGTATTTCACCAGTTTTGAAACTTAATCTTTCCTCTCAGCTCTTTTGTGTTGTATTAGATGCTGATGATCTGTGCCCTTGAAGTCTTACGGTCTCTCTGAACTGTGTATTTTATCCCATTTTGGATAATAGTATCCTAACTTGGCTTACTCTGTTAGGACGTTATTTTTGTTTCCGAAATGTATTCTTTGCCTTAGAACTTGTGAACCCAGAAAGATTACACTCCCATCTCTTGCAAGACAGTCTCCTAACTTAATCCTGCCAGTGCCCAGAAAGTTTGTCCCTGCAGCTAGTATTGCTTTGCGGGCCTCACCCAGCAGAGCACATAGTAGGCAGGCATTCAAGAAGTGATTAAAAGGAATAGAGGAGGGGAAGACAGTAGGAAAAATTCCCTGGTATCTTGGTTCAAAAGAGTAAAATTATCTTGGAACAATAGCTATTTTTTCCCTAGCATAAGCTTTTTAAAATTTCAAAAATGACATGCTTACTGTAAAAGTCTAGTGTAAAGAAGTGTGCCAGGTACAAGTAGTTATCTTGGTGCCTGCTCTACCCCTACCCTGGCACTTCCTTCCAGACCCTTTTCTAACCGTGTTGCAGAGAGAGGAAGATAAACAAGAATGACCCTCTTTCAACACACCATGAGCTTTCTTCCGTATGTGTACATGTAATTCTCAACAACTGCAGTTTTCCATCAGTCTTCTGCTGACACTTAGGTTTCTCCAGTTTTCCATGTTAGTGAATGACAGGGTGTATCCCTGAGCACCTGTCCTTGCATGCTTCAGTACTTTTGTAGGTAGATCATTATAGACCTTGAAGGCACAAAGAGACACCAGGCTTGCTGACTCTTCACTGATTTTTGCCCCAGTGATGTCACTTCTGCAAAGTGCAAAGCCTGCGTGGTAACAAGGCTCTTGGTGCATGTGTGAACACTTGCCAGCTTCTCTCTCTTCCCTCCCTTTCCCCTCAGCTCTTGCATTTGTTTTGATCGGGAAGGAGGTGGGGTTTGGGTGGAGAAGGGCAGCCAGTTAATTCCTGATGGTTTCTACCTGTGTATTGATCCTGATCAGCTGTGCTGACTTTCTTTGCTCAGAGGGAAGCCAAGAGGGACCACTTAATTTTTTTCCAGAGTTTTGAAATCAGAGATGTGTGTCTCCAGTGTGTTTTGAGACATTCCTGTTCCATTTAATCATGCAAAAAATGCTGAAATGAATTTTTATAGGAGGTAGAGTTCTAAGTGATGCCAAACAGTTTCTGTACCACTGGATCCTAGTTTGTTTTTTGCATGCTGCATGTATATTTGAGGTCCCCATCAGATTGGTCCACAGAGCTTCTGGACGTGTTGACAGGACGATCTGCACAGAGGTGAATTAAGTGTAGAATCCACTTTTAAGATAGAAGTTACAAGCTGGGTGCAATGGCGCATACCTGTAATCCCAGCAGCTTTCGGGCTGAGACAGGATCACAAGTTCAAGGACAGCTTCAGCAAAAGTGAGATGCTAAATAACTCAGACCCTGTCCCTAAATAAATCACAAAACAGGGCTGGGGATGTGGCTCAGTGATCAAGTGCCCTTGAGTTCAATCTCCGGTACCCCCCCCCCCAAAAAAAAAGATAGAAGGTACAGAGCTGTGTATGCTGTGACCAGTATGAACCAACACCTGCCTTCTATAGTGTCTTTAAAAGGACCATAGGCCAAATGAAATGAGGGAATCTGACCTCCAGTCAGTCTGTCTGCAACTCCTGCAAGGCCTTGGACTTGGTTCTGGTTGCTTCTACCACTAACTTGCCCCTTGAAAGATGGCCAGTGCGTGCCATGTTCCTGCTCTACCATCGGTTTCAGCTACTGCCTACCTCTTAGGGCAGAACAGCCTGAGGCGGCTAGTGTCCTTTGAAAGGAGTTTGTTAAATGCCCAGCCAACAGCAAGTAGAAGGCCAAGGTAAAAAGTCAGTAGATAATCCTGGAAGGAGAGAGCCTTTGTGAGTCACCAAGCCTGCTTTCTGTGGCAGAGAGCAGAGCCATAGGACTTTCCAAGCCAGATTCCAAATAGTAAAAGGAAATATATTTTTAAGCAGGAGCATCACAAGTTCAAGGCCAGCCCCAGCAATTTAGCAAGGTCCTAAGCAACTTACTGAGACCCTGTCTCAAAAAGGGCTGGGGATGTGGCTCAGTGTTTAAGCACCCCTGGGCTCAATCCCTGGTGTGTGTGTGTATATAGATACACACACACACACACATATATATGGTTGCTTCTTTACACTAGACTTCTTCCCCCTTCTTCAGAATTTCTTTCCTCTTCCCTAACTATTGCTTTTAG